GGTTTGACGATAAATATTTATGCCCTAGCAAAAGGATCTACTGATCCTGACTGCCTAAATAGAGACTTTAACTTCTGCCCCTATTGGTCATGTGTAGGTTGGGCGACCTGGGGAAAGACAGTAGATCAAGATATGATTATCCAAAGGTTGCCCACTACACCGTATTGTAAAACTATGGAGTGCACCATACGGGTATTCTATTATTTGATGCATGTAAGGCGATTTCGGGTAGCAGAAAACCTTGGAATGTATGCGGTAATCTGAAATGGGAACGGATTTATGGGTTTGACGATAAATATTTATGCCCTAGCAAAAGGATCTACTGATCCTGACTGCCCAAATAGAGACTTTAACTTCTGCCCCTATTGGTCATGTGTAGGTTGGGCGACCTGGGGAAAGACAGTAGATCAAGATATGATTATCCAAAGGTTGCCCACTACACCGTATTGTAAAACTATGGAGTGTAACCCCGTGCACATGACCATTTCTAATCCACAGTACTTCATTGACAAGTTTGGGAATCTTTTTGGGTTTCAGATACATGGTACAGGAACAGATCCAGGAGCCATAATATATATAGGTCTTGAAACCGAGACAACAGCTGCTCAAACTCATCAGGTTTTTCATTCCTTTTATGAGGAGATGAGTGTTGAGGACAAAATTCCCCATAATGTTAAGAACCTGTTTATTGATTTGACTGAGAGTATTGCAGGTAGTCTTAATATAACTAACTGCTTTGTATGTGGAGGTACTAATATGGGAGACCAATGGCCATGGGAGGCGAGAGAAGTTTGGTACCCTGGTTCTGAGACAAATGAACAACAGATGCCTTCCCAAACTGGCCATCAAGTAAATGTAAGGGAAAAATCAGAGTGTCAGTTAAAAACATCTATCATAGGCCATGTATGTTTAGCTAGAAGAGGGCCAATGTATAATACACCTGTTGGCGAGTTAACTTGTTTGGGACAGAAGGCCTATAATGCTAGTACTCAAAATACTACTTGGTGGTCAGCTTCAAATGTCTCGGAACCTACTAATCCGTTTGCCAATTACACTAATTTGAAAGAAGTATGGTTTGATCTATCTGCTACATCTAATTGGAAAGCCCCAGCAAATCTATACTGGATTTGTGGTAAGAAGGCATATTCAGAGTTACCACAATGACCATTTCTAATCCAGACCTGAGTAGGTACATGCGCGAGTTTAACCATGTGACTGGTAAGTTCAGCCACTGCCTGCCCTTCATTGTCTATGTGCAGACAACAGTTACTTAGATTAAACTTCCCGCATACACCTCCCTCTACTGTTAATAAGTAGTCCACAGCTAATGGATTTTGATAGATGGCTGATCTCATTCGAGTATTATGTTTAGCTAGGAGATTGAGCGCTTGTGCTGTCTCATTGGTGATAATCTCAACCACCGCCTGTAATCTTATAATGCAGTTGAGCATATATATTGGGGTTCTATAACCATATGTGCCATCTTCTGCCCAAGTAGCAGGTCCATAGTAATTTATGATATGTTGGGGAGGCCTCTCATCATCTTCCCAGCTACCTACATTCAATGAAGCTTGCTTCTTTATATGATTCACATCATAAACCTTAACTCCCAAGGTCTCACCTGTTTCAATTGGCAACAAGAAGAAGGATGGTTTGAGCATATCTAGCACAGCCAGCTGGCTCACCTGCGGCCGCAGAGGGAGCTCCTTTGGCGGCCGCAGGGTTTGCTGGCTGTTCTTGCGGCCGCAGGGGGAGCTGACTGTTGTGTCTCTGCTCCCCCTCCCTTGCAGGCCGCTTAATGAGACCGGGGCCGGAGTATGACGTCATATTCAGCAAACCCTGCGGCCGCCAAAGGAGCTCCCTCTGCGGGCGCCAGAAGAGCTCCGCACAGGTAGAAATTGTGTATGTGTGTGTGTGTGTGTCTGTGTCATTTGTGTGTGTGTCTGTCTGTGTCAGCAATATGTGTCTGTGTCATTGTTTGTGTCTCTGTGTCATGGTGTGTGTGTCACTGTGTGTCATGGTGTGTGTGTGTCTGTCTGTGTCATTGTGTGTGTCTCTGTGTCATGGTGTGTGTGTCACTGTCTGTCATGGTGTGTGCGTCTGTCTGTGTCATGCAATGTGTGTCTATGTCATGGTGTGTGTGTGTGTCTGTCATGTAATGTGTGTCTGTCTGTGTCACGGTCTGTGTGTGTCATAGTGTGTGTGTGTGTTTGTCTGTGTCATGTAATGTGTGTCTGTCTGTGTCACGGTGTGTGTGTGTCTGTGTCATGGTCTCTCTGTGTCGTGGTGTGTGTGTCACGGTCTGTCTGTGTGTGTCAAGGTGTGTGTGTCTTTTTTAAGGTGTGTGTCTGTCATGGTGTGTGTGTGTCTGTCTGTGTCATGGTGTGTCTGTCTGTCATGGTGTGTGTGTGTTTCTATCTGTGTCACGGTCTGTCTGTGTCATGGTGTGTGTCTGTCATGGTATGTGTGTGTGTATGTGTGTTTTTACTCACCTTTTTTTTTTTTCCCACGTCATGCTGGTCTCCCCTCGCCTGGCCCTGCCTCTACGGCTGAGATCATCAAGCTTGATGATCTCAGCCAATCCGCACTGACACAGGAAGCACCTCTAGTAACCGTCTGAGTGTCTGTCACTAGGAAGCAATGTAAACACTGCCTTTTCTCTTAAAAGTCAGTGTTTACATTGAAAAGCCTGCAGGGACAGGCTATAGACACCAGTACCACTACATTAAGCTGTGTGTGTGTGTGTGCGCGCGCGCTTTCTTGTGTGTGTGTGTGTGTGTGTGTGTGCCTGCTACTGAGTGAGCTTGTGTTTTTATGTCAATAACCTTATGTATGAGGCTGTGTATCAATCAGCTTGTGTCAGTGAGATTGTCTGTGTATGCATGTGAGTATGCTTACTGTAAATTAATATTTTATATTGGAAAACGCTATATATATATATTATATATGTATATATAATATATATATATATATATATACACACACATGTACATGAAGTAGCTTGCACTCACGGACTTGAAATGTAGAAAAAAATCGCTTTATTCAAAGCATATCAAATGTACATCACACCCTGATATGCTTTGAATAAAGCGATTTTTTTCTACATTTCAAGTCCGTGAGTGCAAGCTACTTCATGTACATGTATACTATTTGGCTTTTGCTTGTAGCACCCGGCCCTTAAAATAGTTTATTAAGCCTGAGTGTAAGGATACCAGTCTTTTTTATATATTATTGCCAGAGATAGCACTCCAAGGACTAATATAAAATATAACTTTTATTACCTCCACTAAAACAACACAAGGTCAATGTTTCAGCCTGATCCCCTCAAGCTTTCGTCAGGAGATGTCCTGACGAAAGCTTGAGGGGATCAAGCTGAAACGTTGACCTTGTGTTGTTTTAGTGGAGGTAATAAAAGTTATATTTTATTTTAGTCCTTGGAGTGCTATCTCTGGCAATATTTTTAGCATTTTTGGCTGACAAGCACCGGGCATTGAATATTGAATTGGTGGAGTGCAAGATCCGTTTGGTTTTATATATATATATATATATATATATATATATATATCATCTAGGGTTGCAAGACATAGCCTTACATATTACATGCGACAATATATGGCGCAATGACTTATGGGGCTGGCATAGATTTTTTTTCCAGGGCTGCTTTGGAATCCCCAGTCCGGCCCTGCACAACAGGTTATTCAGTTATTCCAAACAATGCTGCCTTTTTAATGACCACCAGAAATATGGTTTTACTTCCAAAACTACTATAAAATATTGTAATGAGTCTAAGAGAGTTTGCCCTGAAACAAATATTTATACTAATATTTTGGCAAATTTGCAATATAGACACTCATAATAATTATCTACTAGGATGATGTTTATCCCACTTGTCTTTAAATGAAAATGTGCACTAGATATGTGTGTTTAATTGTTGCTTAGCAATTCTGTATATACATTTGCATTGTTAATATTGGCTGCATAGCAATATCATGTGACTGATTGCCACATGACTGAAAATCAGGTGATTGTACAATTAACTCATTGGATACTATTTATTGTTTGATGTTTTTTTCCCTGTGGATTACTAAATTGGGTCGGCCAAAACATTGTGTGCATGTGTGCACCAATAAAACTTTATACCACAAGTCCACTGGGAAAATGACCTTTTATATATTCGTATGCACTCAAGGAAATACTGGTACATCAGTTTGTGGCAGTGGGGATCTGGCTTACTATTAACCCCTTCTTTACTGATACTTTTCCCAAATGCTGTGCGTTCATGAGAAAAACCTTTTTTGGCACTTTTGCTATGTTTGTTCCTCCAAATTTTAACTCTTTCTCTCTAAGTGCACCCATACATACTTCATATTGTTTTTAAAGGGCTGATAGGGATTTCTTTTGATACACCATATGTGTAAGTAAAACAAATCTAATTATTAAAACAAAATATAAAAATAAAAAACAGTTTTGCTCATAATACCTTCAGCACAAGTAGTGCAACTAAATAAAAATAACTCAAAACAGATTCACTTATTAGTTCTGATTGCAAAAATGTCTAGGATTTCATTTAATATTTGGAAGACAAATATGGAAAGTAGTGAATTTAAAACTAAACCTTGCCAAATTTGGCATGCTAAAACTATAACTTTAATAGCAGGTGCAGAATTCAAAATTGCTACGCAAGTATATATATTTGTAGAATGTAGACTGATCAGGATATTTAGTTAAAGGTGCTGGTTATATGTAATTTTGTTTTGTATTTTTCACAAATGTATGTCATATTTAGGGTTAATTTCCATGTATTTCCTATTACTGTAAAAACCCTAGATTTGTATTCTGATACTGCCGCTGATTTTATCGGATCTTTGACCTTTATCGCCTTTTTGACAAGTTATACAGTCAAATTGAAGATTATGCTAGCGCAGTGTACTAATAATCTTAATTTTAATAACGACAGGAGGCGAGTAATTTGCATAAACTTTCTTTACTAACTCCATAGCAGCAAAGAAAAAAAACAGTAAAAACAAAGAACCAATCAGAGTGAGTCAGAGTATATATAAGTCCAGGCATAGCCAATCATTTCCTCTTGGTTAATGCGACATCACGAGTTCCAATGTAACAGATAACGTGTCCGATCCAACTAGAAAACGATAATGGAATTAAGCCTTCCCAGTAATCCATACGACTTGTTAAACTGAAAGAAAAGAGAAAGTAGTATCAGTGATACGGACTGTACCGATTTAAACATATGTTTTATGAGTATTTATATAAACTCTATAATGATTTTGATTATCTATCGGTTATTATCTTCTAACGTCCATCTACCGTATTATTTACCCTCACAGTCTATATGTAGAAATTCGTACCCGTACCTAGGGTTTAATTTGGTAACAATCACATATTCCCTTAAATCTAACTTACCTGACACGAGGGTGGGAACATCAAGACGAAGAAAGGGAGGGAAAATAGTACACTGCGCTAGCATAATCTTCAATTTTATAACATAACAGGAGGCTTCGTATTTTGCAATTGTAACGCTTAGGCAAAAGAGAAAATGCAGCATTAGAAGACTGGCGGAAATAGAACATCCAAAAGGTCGATTCTCGGGACCAGTCTGCCGCTTGTAAGATATCCGATAGTGACGCGCCTGCTAAAAAAGCTGATGACGCTGCTGCTCCTCTCACGGAGTGAGCTCCGAAGGACGGGTCCACTCCTGCGAGGGTGAGGAACCATCTAATCCATCTGGATAATGTAGTGGTAGAGACTGGACTGTGAGGATTAACGTATGAAATCAATAATTGTCGGATGGCCGACGTAGTGCTTCCGTTGCCGCCATGTATGTTCTCAAAGCCCTAACTACACATAGTTGGGGTTCTGATGTGAAGAACGGGTAGAAAATTGATGTTGAGTCGGTTTTGGTTCGTCTTGAGATTCGGAATGTGATCACTTCTGGGCTGATAGTTAATGCGTCTGAGTCGAAAGCTCGTATGTCTGAGACTCAACGAAATGAGACTAGGCACAGTAAGAAGGTAAATGTCTCTGACAGTTTTCTTAAAGATAGTCGTTCATTCTGAGGCCATACCTTCAGGAATGTAAGTACCTTCTCCACATCCCAGAGGTGTTTGTATTTGGATGCTGGGGGGAGTCTCAACTTGATGCCCCGTAGTAACCGGCAAATCAAATGGTCTTGACAGATTGCTCTCCCTTGGGATGGAACATGGGCTGCTGCTATAGCTGATCTGATCTAGTCCCTGGGGCTCATGAGTCCCACAGCAGGTCCTTAGTTGTAGATGATAGTTCGTGGGTGTCCCATGCACCCACCCCTGAAAGAATCCAGGCTACCAGGGTTAATCGGTCGTCCAGAAGCATGGGATGTGGGTTCCCTGCTGGGTCCCTGAGTAGATATGGGTCGGTCGGCAGGAGGATTGGATCTTCGCACGATAGTTCGAGAAGGTCCGGGAACCAGGGTTGACTCTGCCATAGTGGTGTCAGTAATGTTAGCGTCACCTCTCGTCGTCGGATGTGATGAAGTACTCTCGCAATCATTGCGAATGGAGGAAAGGCATACGCCCCTTGTCTGGGTCAGTGTTGTGTGAAGGCATCCACCGCCACGCATTCCAGCTGTAAAATCTTGGGAGTTGATGGTTGTTGCGTGATGCAAAGAGGTCGAGGATGAATGGGCCTCTCCGTTTGTTCAGATGGGTGAATATTTGTGTGTTTATTTGCCAGTCGCTGGCATCCCTCCAATGTCGTTAGTACCAGTCTGCGGTGAGGTTCGATTCCCCTGGTAGATGTTCAGCCCTGATCGAGATGTTGGGTGGGAGGCAATAGTCGAAGATCTTCTTCGTCAAATCGGCAAGTGTTTGGGAGCGAGTCCCTCCCAAATGGTTGATGTATCGTACTGCGGAGACGTTGTCCATCCGCAGTAGGATGCAGCAATTGGATTGTCCTTTCGCCAGGCTTCGAATGGCGAAGGATCTGGCCAATCGCTCCAGACAATTGATGTGCATGGTGAGTTCCTGATTCGTCCAGGTACCACCCGTGGATGCGTTCCCATCTGTGGCGCCCCATCCCCATCGGCTTGCATCCGATTCTAGGATGACGTCCGGGTGGTTGCCAAAGATGGTTCGACCATTCCATGCTTGCATGCAGTTGAGCCACCGTTCGATTTCCCGTCGTACCTCGTCCGTCAGTGGGACCGGTTGGTTGTATGTGGGATCTTGTCCGAGGAAGCGGGCTTTTAGCCGTTGCATGGCTCGGTAATGTAAGGGGCCCGGAAATATGGCCTGGATGGAGGAGGATAGCAGACCTACTATCCGTGACAGTTTTCGAAGAGGGTTGGTCTCGATTTCTAGTGTTATGGGCAAATACAAATATTACAAGTTTTAGAATGAAATGTTGTATTTCTTAAACTGTGTACTTTGTCTCTAAGAGATATTGCAAACTGACAAGGTGTTAGAAATGGAACATATTGTTTTTCATAACTGTTTCTTTAAGCAATAACCTCAGTTCATAATAAGTTTGCGCCATTTTGTCCCAGACGAATTACAATAACAATAATGCATAAACAAGCTTCAAGGCTATGCTATGACTCTTGCAGTACACAATATACTGTGGTAACCCCAAGTTAATGGAACTTCCCCAAATCCGGGAATCTCCCACGACTGTACACTTACGACTTAGTATAAACAACATATAACCTATTCAGACTTTAAGATGCCATCTTGAACTAAGTCAGGAAAATTTCCATGACGTATGCACCCTTTAGTTATGGCCTTGTATGTTTGCCAAATTAAGGGAGGTCCTAAATTGAATAAAGTAAAAGAAGTGTTACTTTTTCATATTTGAACTACAGTAACCTAAAATGGAGACACCTAAGGTATAAATAGGTGTACTTTTAAATGTTAAGACACAGAGGAGAGACTTGGAGACAGACGCTGCTCCATCTTAAAATGACAGAGAGGCTGACATGATGACATGTTCAGAAGGGTATGTTAACCTATTAATGATATTTGCAAGCATGTAATTTAATCTTATAAACTCTGCTATAATGGATTTTATATTTTTATATAATAAATATCCAAAAGACAATCTTGCTTCCAAGACAATCCTTATTTTATATTGTATTCTCAATTATTTATATATGTTAAATAGAGGATCTCTTACACTATATAAAATTATGGCTAAGATATCTGTATGGTTAGCCCTACTAAGTTCTATGCTTTAAGACATTATAGTGGTAAATAAGGGAACCACACACGGTTACACTAGGACTTTGCGTATCTCTTTCCTGATGGCTGATACCTTGATATTCGTAAGATGAAGAGTGCAAGACCTGGAGTCTATTTCGAAGCCCAGGAATTGAATAGTGCGCGTGGGGGTCAGTGACGATTTGTCCCTGTTGACAATAAATCCCAAAGATTCTAACAGTTGAATCGTGTATTCGGTATGGTGTGAAGCCCCTTCGCTTGTCCTGCAGAATATAAGTATATTGTCTAAGTAGATGATACATCTGATGCCTCGAGTCCTGAGATGGGCCACTACTGGTTTCAGCATTTTTGTAAAGCACCAAGGTGCTGAGCTGAGGCCGAAAGGGAGGCAAGTGAATTGCCAGCGGGCCCCTGCCATAGGAACCGAAGGAGTGGTCGGCTGTCTTTGTGAATAGGGATTGATAGGTATGCGTCTTTGAGGTCCAGACGCATGAACCAGTCCCTTTCTTGTAGTAAATCACTTAGTAGGTGTATGCCCTCCATCTTGAAATGACGGTATACAACGTGGGCATTCAGTTCCCTTAAGTTGATCACCGGTCTGAAGTCTTTTTTTACGGACAAGAAACATGTTGCTGAAGTAGCCCCCTTGCGTGTTGTAACCCCTTGGGTTGTATCGCGCCTTTTTTGTGGAGCTCGCATAGTTCTAGTTCTATAAGCTGGGTGTCTGTAAAGCAGAGGGGGCGCGGGGGTCGTTGTTGGCTGGGGTATGATTGTAATTCGATAAGGTAGCCACTGACCGTCTGTAACACCCACGTGTCTGTGGTTAGACCTGCCCAATTCTGGGAAAAAAGAGAAACGCGGCCGGCAGTCATGGTTAATAAAGGCATAGTTGTGTTTGGTTTCCTTACCTGTGGGAAATCATGCGCAGGCACGTCCGCGGCCTCCCCGGCTTCGATCTGTTCCCCTCTGGAAATAGGAGTAGGGTTGTCTTGCACCCGAGTACGGATAGGCCTGTTGCGGGTAGAAATGTTGCGGAGCTCCATTGCGGGGGCCTGATGGCCAGAAGCAGCTGGTGGCATGGCCCCGTTGCCGACCAGCCCTGCCAAAAACACCCCGGGAGGGGTTACCTCTGAACACTTTTCGCATAGAGGTAAGGGCTCTGTTCAGGGAAGTGAATACATTCACATGCTTGTTGAGCTCCTTCATGAATGCCTCTCCAAAAAGCTTGCCCTGTGCCTGCGGGCCTAATTCTTTCACCCCAAGGTCAGCCAACTTTGGGTCAATGTGGGACAGTGCTGCGCGGCGCCGTTCTGTTGAGAGGGCCGCATTGGTATTTCCCAGGAAACAAAAGCCACGCTGGGTCCATTCCCTGATATCGTGTGCCCAATCACGTACCATGTCCGCAGTAAAGGAGTCTGCTCTGGCGTAGGCGTCATCCTCCAGGTACATCACTCGGGCCAGTGGCCCCATTGTGTCTAGGAGCTTATCTTGCGCCCCTTTAAAGCTCCTTTCGATCCCCCTGCTTGGATCGCGACCACCTCTCTCCATGAACGCCAGCATGAGTTTGTCAAATTCTGGTATAAACGCCACCTTGTCTGGCAGGGAAGGTCGAGGGCACTCTGCCCGCATCCTTTTGCGAACGGGTTTCTCCAGCGGCTTGCGAATCCAGTAACGCATAAATTTCATGAGGTGGTTGGGTGGAGCCCATTCCCCTGAGCGAGGATGGTGTATATTTCTGGGGTTAAACATGCATTGTCCCGTGGTATCCATGAAGGTCTCCTGTTCTTGGGTAGCGGTCATCGTGGGAGACTCTGCATCCCCTTTCGTCTGGGGCTCACCCAGAAAGGTCTCTGTGACGTAGGCGTTGGATCCCCAATCGCCGTCGTCTGAGTCCGAGACCTCTGCCTGCCACTCATCCAGGATGGAGAGGAAGTGGGGCATCTCTTCTTCCTCATCCGAGGAGACTTCTTTGGGGATTTCCAGTGGCGTTTTGCCGGGCGTTGTCTTTCCTGGGAGGAAGCGTCTGATTCTTCCGAATCCTCCCTGGTGCGACTAGATTTGCCAGTCGGCTTGAGTGTATCAGAGGCCCCTGGAAGCATCTTTGCCATGGCCTTCTCGAGGGATGCGGCTAGCGCCGCATTAATCATGGTCTGCGTTTGCTCAGTTGAAATCTGTGGCTCTTTTTCCATTTTGAGATGGCTGACAGGCACAGGTATGAGAGGTGTAGGGACCGTGGCTGTGTACTATATAACGCTTACTAGCTTGTAAAGGCAGTCTCTTGCAGTCACTGGGGCTCACCCAGGAGGGACAGAATTGCTATAGCAGATTCCGGTAGGCAGCATTTATACGAGGGCTCACCCCTTGCCAGAATACTCGTTTAAAACTGACTGGCAGTCCCACTCCTTAAGGGTTAATATATCCAGGTGCACAGGTCCCTGTGAGAAAATATATAAATAACACTCACGTTTGTAGTAAATAATTGTTCAAAATCCGGAGCTTCCGCCTTATCCAACACACCAACAAGATGGCCGCCAAGGGTCTCGCGAGGTCTTGGATAACAGTCGCTGTAAAAGATTTCAAAAACTTTGTGGGATACTGTGTAAGTAATATTGCGTTCGGCAGATTTGTTCTTCAAAAAAACAACCGAATGCAATCAGATGAATGAGTGGTGTAACCACACAAACGGGTGCTGAAGAGACAGCACCGTTCATGAGTTTATAAGCATGTAATTGGTACAGCGTTCGGCAGATTTGTTCTTGAACTGCCGAACGTGAGAGGTGAAGCTATGAGCTTCGGGGCAATTCAGACAAGGCTCCGTTCGTGGATATAAACTCCCGAATGGGGGAGGGGTTGCCCGGTCTGTGCGCACAGACTTCACTGCGGACGGTCCAGGGGGAGGAAGCTGGGGAGGGAACGAGGTTCTACGCTAGCCCAGCACTGTAGCCAGCACAAGTGGATGAATGACGGTAAGGAAATGAATCACCTGTTCTGTTCACACAGGAGTTGTGTGAATAGCGTGGGCAGTATAAGGGAAAGTGGCGAACGTAGCCACCAGGCAGGGGGGGGAGAGGTGGAATATCCTGACAGGCTGCCTCAGATTATGAGAGTAGCCTGAGGGGATAATTATGAGGTAAAAACATGCAGGATTGTCATGTACACTAGTCGGGGACCTGGCAATGGACCCCCTACCACCCCCAGTGAAAGCAATATACAATATACCGTAGCATATATATATATATATCTATATACAATTACAGAAGTAGTACTCTGACCTGTTACTTGTGATGGAGCAGCAAAGAAAGAGGAAATGATTGGCTATACCTGGACTTATATATACTCTGACTCACTCTGATTGGTTCTTTGTTTTTACTGTTTTTTTCTTTGCTGCTGTGGAGTTAGTAAAGAAAGTTTATGCAAAATACAAAGCCTCCTGTCATGTTATAAAATTACAGACATGCCTCTAGTCCTCTGTGGCTCCTTGACCACCCCTCCCATAGTGCCTGCCATGGCCTAAATACCATCAGATACCTCCCCCCTTTAATTTTTTCACTCAATCTCTTTTTTTTTCCCTTCCCTCTCTTCCTCCTCCTCCTCCAAGTTCTTTCAATACCCTTCCTTTTCTAGATAGCTTCTCCTTTCTACCAACTAATATTTTCAAACCCAGCACACAACATTACCAAACAGATATTTAAAAGAGATGGAAGCTATTAATGCTCCCTAGCCATGTGACCCAACACAATGAATGCTCCACGATACAGTTATTTGAGGTGTTGCTGTTCCTCGCTTATTTCTGCTCACGGACAAGCTTGCAATGTTGGTGTTTGTCAACATAAAAAAATAACAGACCTGACGATTTGATTTTTCTAATTTCCTTTTTTAATTTTTTTTATTTCTTCTGGGTCCTAAATCTAAATAGTAATATTATAGTTAGCATGACACTAACGTTAGCAATACATGTTTACATTCCTCATGTTAGCGTATTCCTTCAAGTACTTTCTGCTGTTGATAAGTGTCCAAGGGTTCTGCTACTGTGTCTTCTGAATCATTGTGATTGCTTGTGATTGTGATCGCTTACTCTTGATTGTAACATAAATTATAGGCCCTTTTTTGTAAGCTGATATTGGTAGACAAATTTTGAAAAATGTTATCACAGTGGGATTGTAATCTTTTCACATCATAAACAGCTCATCACAGCCATTAAAGTAGTACTATTGCAAGCACACCAGACCTGTAAACAAACAGGAGGAGAGAAAAGCTCAAACACTATCATACTCTGCCTGATTACGCACATAGTGGAATGACAGCACCCAGGGGGTGGCATGGACAGAGCAGACAGGAAGGGCACAATGCCTGACCTAACCAGGCAAGCTCAGAATACCCCACACATATGCTTGGGCCACAACAGCACAACACACTCATCAAAGCCAACCTGGGAGTTCATGACACAGCACACTCCTCAACAATACTACCACTGTACATAGTTACATTTTGCTTGCCAACACAAAAGAAAAACTCTGGCAGCAACGCACACAAAGTGCACAGTATGTGACTGATGCCTGTACTAACTATACTACTCTGCATTCTGTACTACATGCAAACAAAAACTTGTACAGTTATTTACATGCCTATATCTGCACTATTGTAACAATGCTTGACTGTCAGAACGAAAAAAAAAGAATAAAAAAAAAAAAAAGAAAAGAACACTCAAGGAACCAGGGACAATAACAACAATAACAACTTAATCTCACACAGTAACACACAAGGATACTATGGCACATACACAGATACACAGTGCAAGAGACAAAGACACAGTCAGTCAAAATGCATGCACACACACTCTCAGGCCCATATGCAGTTACATAATGCTAGACAAACAGACACACTCAGCCCACACCATACGGCTCTTAGCCCCTTCCAAACACACAATACTCAGTCACTACACACACTCTCACACAAAACACTCACAGACACATTGTCCTGGCACCCTGCCTAGGGCCCATGGGCATCCTTAATCCATGGTGACATTTAGCAGTGACTGGGTAAGCTGTTAGTTTTATTTTTTTAGCCCTGCTATGGGTAAGTAGCAGGACTGTCTTGGTGGGGAGGATCAGAGCTGTCAGAATGAGGTTTGTACTTCTGGCAGGTGCAGACTCAGTAATGGCTTCCTTGGGATCCGGTGCTCTCTAGTGAGTCGGAGCACAGCTGCTGTTCACCCTGTTCACCCTCTGAGTCACTGAGTATCGAACTGTGAGAGAGCATTTACTGAGGTCTGCATCTGCCAGTGGTACAAGCCTCACATTTTCCCTGCTAGACCATCAGGGACTCAAGAACCCAAAATGCCCACCAGGCAGGGCTAGCACCTACTGGCTCACCAAGGAGTATGACCCCACCATTAGACCACCAATAATCATAGCCTTGAAGAAAGCCATGCAGGAAGGGGGCACTTAGAGCACAACCACACACATTATATATGGCCACCACACACATCACATACAATTAGCACAGGGGCGCAATTTCAGTGCTTGACATATCCACTATCTTCAGTAGATACGCCTCTGTCCAACAGCGTAATTGATCAAGAATATTTTATCACTAGTTACTTTATGGATAAACTAACAGCAGTATGAGCCGTATGGCAAACCTAGGCCCTGGGACCCTCTCACATGTAATATACACTTGTACAAACACATTGATACACTAAACCAGCGGTAGTCAACCATAATACCTACAACCCACTTTTGTATCCATTTTTGCAGCAGTAAAAAATTTTATAGTGCAAGTGCATTTTAAAAAAGGAGGTTTTTTTAAAAAAAAAAATTAAAAAAATTTCTGTACTTACATTTATCTATTTTCTTTTCCATTTCCTATTCTACTTTTTTGCTAAGTGTGTCTGCGAGGTGTTGTGTGTGTCTGTGTGTGAAGGGTGTAGTGTGTGTGAGAGAGAGGTTCAGTGTGTGTGAGGGGTGCTGTATGTGGGTAAGGGGTGCAGTGTTTGTGTGAAGGGTGCAGTGTGTGTGTGAAGGGTTCTGTACTTGTGTAAAGGGTGCAGTGTGTTTGTGAGAGGTGCTGTGTATGTGTGAAGGGTGCTGTGTGTGTGAACGGTGCTGTGCGTGTGTTTTTCTATATGTGTCTGTGAGGTGCTGTGTGTGTTTGTGTGTGAAGGGTGTAGTGGGTGTGTGTGTGAGAGGTGCAGTGTCACAGCGCCCGCCGGCTCCGCTCCCGTCAGAGAGCGGTCTGGGACCTGGCAGGTTCATCACGTTGCGCCGGCATTCCCACGTGGCAATGAGAATGTCGTTGATTGCTTACCTCCTCCTGCGGCGCCCGCTGGTCTCACTCAGTGCACGGTCTCGGAGCTGACAGGCGCCCTTCCCTCACACAGCGACAGGGTCTGAAAACATTAGAGAAGCCGGATGATGCAAGTCAAAACCTTTTAAGGTTTTTAGTTAACCTCTTGGTCCCTAACCACTGGAAACGTACGTATGACATCACACACACATGTTTCACTGTCACATGCACCTCTACAACCCATCAAAGAGCACCTTAGGCTATTTAAACCTTTTTTGTCCATTTCTTAGTGCCCTGACATGGATTGCATTATGGTTATCCAAGAGCGCATTTCTGGTATTGATTCTTGTGTGTTTTGACCTTGGCTTGTTTATTGACTATTATGATTTCTGTATCCCTTGGACTTATGCTTGTTTCCGGACTATTCCTACTTCTTTATTCCTTTACCTTTGGCTTGCATACCGTTTAAGTATACTCTGTATTCCTGACCTCAGCCTGTCTTGTACCTTTCTTTTTATTTGTTAAATCCGGCCGTTCTAAGACCCGGTAATACGCCTTTGGGTTTTCTTTAATACTTTACTTATGTTCTGCGTGCTGGGCATATTAGTTTATCCTGACATTACGACAGGGCCATGGACCCTGCAGACGTAGGTAGACAAGTAATGTCTTGCGAGGCGAAGCTTGAGGAATATGATCTTCGCATGAATCGTTCGCTCAGGCATTTCAGACTTTGCTGGTTCGTACTGCTCATCTCCAATCTGAAACACTCTCACTCCCCAGGTTACACCACATACCACTGTGGCAGTGCCCAGTGGCCAAATGGCTCCTACCATCAGACTGCCCCCCCCCCTCCCCACTCCCACTTAGATTCAGTGGTGATTCATTGGAGTGTAGGGGTTTTATAAATCAGATCGAATACCACTTTTAAGCATCACCTGGTTCTTTCCCTTATGATAGGGTTAAGATCGGGTATTTGATGAATCAACTGTCTGGTAAAGCTCTAGCATGGGCCTATCCCTTATGGTAGGACTATAGCATACGACTATTTGAAATTTATTACTGAATTCAAGAGGTATTTCAAAACTCTTGGAAAAGTTAAGAAAGCAGACAAAGGGTTAATGCAGATAAAACAGTGCAATAGATCCATGGCGGATTACACCATAGAATTCCGCACACTAGCGGCTGAGGTGGATTGGACAAATAGTGGTTTGGTTACTGCTTTCTCATAAGGGCTCTCTGAATCATTAATTGATGAAACAGCCGCTTGACTGTTTACTTTAGCCTGCAGCGCCTTCAGCTGCTGGCTGACTCTCCTCTCCTACTGCGAGCACAGCACTGTATGAGAGCGCTGCCATGGTAATGTGGCACCGCTCTGACCAGCCTGTTTGTGGGAGGAACACATAGCCTCCCAGGCCTTTTCCTCCTTCTGCTGGAACTAAGTGCCAGCAGGCTAGTGAGGGAGATCTTTGACTTGAGGGCTTACAACAAGGCTGGCTCTGCATGGGGCGGCAGGGGAGATGAAAGGATCTTCCCTACCGGCCTTGGTCCATGGCCATCGAAGCCCACTGGGCGTTTTCTGCAGAATCCACCACCGCCCACCTGAAATGCCAAACCGCCCACTAGTGGGTGGTAGGGACCAGGATGACTACCTCTGCACTAAACAATCAAACTGTTATATTGAATTAAAACAACTAATAGCAAAAATCAGGTCACAATATACATGGAAAAATCTGTTATAGTCACAGGTTGACTATTTACCATGTTTGTATTCCTAACACTAAAGTGTTCCTTTAAAAGTAAGGGCTTTTATTAAGCCAGGGTTTTCTATTAGGATTGGATTTTCTATTAGGCAGAGTAAGCACTTGCCTCCAGGCGCCTGTTTTCAGCACTTATGTGGCCTCTTGTGTGGAGATAAGGATAAGCAGCTCTGGCCAGTGTCCTCTGTAGTCCAGTCAGCCTCCTATGCTTAAAAGCCGAGCTGCATGAACAATTATAGAGGTTGTAAAACTAAGCACTGTCCAAGGTCACTTCCCATCGGCCCACTAACAGCCTCTCAAACAGGAAATGTCTTGCAGGAAGAACAGGGACAGCACTGACTGATACACAGTGTGTACAGCTTCTGCATCATACAAGGCTGGCTGGACTACAGAAGACATAGGAGAGCGAGTACTTTGCAAACAACCCCTTAAAGGGAAACTGTAGTGCCATGAAAACAAACTTGTTTTCCTGGCACTTTAGCTTCCACCTCTGTCAAGGCACCCCTCTCCCTGTGTAATAACCCATCGGCCCACAGGTACTCATCTGTGTGCAGCAGACCCTCTCCTGTCAGGCCCGGTATCCAGGCGAGTTCAATGCTTGGCCTGAGTGTAGATGGTTGAGCATGTCTGCTTTGCCGCTTCACACGGCAGCCTGGGTTCATCTCTCAGCTGCGGGCAATAGGTCTAACGACTCACACGGTCCCTTTCTCTCCCGGGCAGGGGTGGTCGATGGATTCGTTGGTCAACTTGCTTTGGGGAACTTTGTCAGGACGGCCGGCGTGATTGCAGCTCATAGGGGCTCCATGGTGCAGGAGCATGTTGTGAAGTGCCGCGAGGTAGGCCATCGGTGCTCCGTGCGCCTCAACCTCCTATCTCAGGCTCTCCTCAGTGGGGACCGGGATGACTCCCCCGGCCCAGGATGACCCCCCCGGCCCAAAGGGGGGACGACGCTGACAAGCAACATGTGGTAGCTGGGAAGGGAGGCCTGGCAGTGGCCGTCCACCTCGCTCCCCTCCCAAGTAGGCCGCAGCCCCCGAAGCTTCGTGCTTCCCCCAGGGTGTCCAAAACTCCTGATCTCGGGGTCCACCACCTCTCCCACAGCCGTGGGTATCTCATGGGCTCGTTTTATGGGCAGAGTCTGCCTCTTGTTGCTTAAGATGCCAGATTTCTCTGGAGCCTCCCCTGCATGCGACAGGTTAGCATGGCGGTCTGGCCCCGCCCCCCATCATTTATTTTTTATAATAATATATATATATATATATATATATATACATACACATACACTATATATATATAGTTATTATATATATGCACAAGTGTGTAATTATACTCTAAGTGTATTTTTATATTAATATATGTATATATTAATAAAAAATACACTTAGTATGACGTTATAAATATCATTTTTTTAATTTATTTAATTTTAATTAAACTTTTTTATTTTACAGATGATGGTAGACTGCCTGTCAGTTCAGGCAGTCCCCCTGTAGGCAGCACTATGGACGGCTATTGCGGTCTGTGTGATTATAGTGTTCCCTTAATCCAGGGGTGAGCAGTCTTCGGCCCTCCAGATGTTATGAACTACATCTCCCTTGATGCTTTGCTAGCATTATGGCCCTAAGAGCATTATGGGAGATGTAGTCCAAAACATCTGGAGGGAGATGTAGTCCAAAACATCTGGAGGGCAGAAGATTGCCCACCCCTGCCTTAATCCTATGTTTAACTCCTCTTATACACTAAACACCCAATGTACCCCGAAACTAAACTTAACTCAACTCTCACCCTACATTGAATAATTCTAAACACCCCTAATACCACAACTCTAACTCCGCTTAAGCTTGTAATGCTTCCTACAGAAAACACCCCAGGTAAACTAGCTGTGGTATTAACCTTGTCGTCCCCCCCCCTTTACCATCCTACTTCTAACAACATTATATTTAACCCTGAATGCATATACACTGCTGCATGCATCACAGATTCAAACTAAATCGATTACATGCAGAAATATACACAAAAACATA